CAGCAGTAGGAGTGCTTCTATTATTTTAAATAATATCAAAAGATGTAAAGGGCATAAGGTTTAAGTCTGAGTGCTATCACTTCTTAGACCTGAGTTTGATTCCTGGCCAGGGGGCAACCCACAGGGGGCAGCAGACCTCTCCTGTCTCACCCACCACTCCCCTCAGCAGTGGATTTCAGTGGATTGGCCTATTCTACTCCCTACTCTGTGTCTGGTGAATCCTCTCACCCTCTGCACCTCTGGCCTGTACCCCAGTTCTCGTATGCATAAATAAATTAAAAATGAATCTAAAAACAAAGAAATAAAAAATTACATGCAGCATCAAGTACAAGATCCATCTCAGACCCAGTAAACAGCAGAGGCTGGGGACCCAGTGGTGGTGTAGGTGAAACAAGACAATGGGGCACTCAGTCAGCAGGAGTCAGGCTTTGTCGTCAAATGAGTTTGATGTCAAACTAGAGAGGGTCAGTCCACCATCCAGTGCTGCCAGGCCAAGAAGTCTAGGCTGGTCTACAGCCCCAGCCAGTAGTCAGGCACCACCTGGGAGACTCAAGGGATAGTTTAATCTAGCCCTTTGTTTAATTTCTCTATATCCATATCTAAGTGACGTTTTTGTCTTTCTCCTTTGGGCTTATTTCCATTAGCTCCGTCCATGTTGCCCCAGATGGCATGAGTTTATATTTCTTGATGAGTCGTATTCTATTATCTATGTACAACCCCTTCCACAGCTCGGCTACTGTAAATTGTGCTGCAGTGATCAGGGGGTGCCAGTTTCCTTTGAAGTAGTGTAAGGTCCTCTGCTGGTGTGCTGGCGCCTGCCACCCTAAAGGGAGCTGGAGTCTCTGAGAGCACCTGCTTACTCTGCACAGGGGATTCCAGGAGGTTAGAAGTTCTGCAAATAGAACTTTTTTCTTTTATTTATTTATATAAGCACTGGGTAAAGTCAGAAGGGCGGGAGGGTGAGAGAATTCACCAGAGCCAGAGCAGGAAGCAGAACAGGCAGAAGGACCCAAGTACATTGCTGAGGGGAGCAGCGGGTGGCAGAAGAGGTCTGTCCCGCC